TAGAAAAATTAAAATTAAAACTAATCATTATTTATATTATCAATGTAGAAAAATAAGAATTACCAAATATAACTTTCTACATTATTAATATAGAAAAATGAGAGGTAAAAATGAGATTTTCTATGTTGCCAAAATAGAAAAAGAAGAAATAAAAATGGAAATTTCCATACTACAGTATAGAAAAATGAAAAATAATGAATAGGATTTTATATAATATCAAATATAGAGCAAATGTTGACTGTACTTGTTCTAAAATAAGATTGAAGTTTATGTGCAAAAAAACGAAGCAAGGTAGCCGGTCAGACTGATTATTTCCATGTGTATAAGAGATATTTGAGAAGTTTGATTTAATTGAAATAAATCTATAGTATTAATAAGCATCTTATATGGGTCTATGTCATTATCTATAAGTAGAATACAAAATTATCTACTCGAATTTTATGTCTCACCATCTCTTTGATTTAGAAAGCAGAAAGTGTTGTTTTGATTCTGGCTCTCATCTTCGAGTTGTTTGACACATAATTAAAGATCTCATACCATTTTACACGTATTTGATTTTTGTCGATCCAAGAAAAGAAATAATACTAAAATATACTTTCTTCCAATTGCACTGAGACATTAACATATTAAAAATATATGATATCACATAATAAAAATGAAAATTGATTAAATAGTATTAAATTTACTCAAGATTTCAATTATAGCTAGATTCTTCATAGACAAATTAAAAACGATGAAATTATTTTTAGGGAGTTTATAAAACTGCATGACATTTTTTATTAACTTCATTGATTCCGTAACTGTCCATTCAAGATATAATCATATAAGTATTGTTTCTAGTCTAAAGCTCAAGTCAGTATCAATATAAATCTTTAGAAAATTCTAGACAAACAAAAAAAAACTTTTTTCTAAGATTTAACCAGTTCAGAATACGATACAATAAAAATTTGAAGGGAAGAAATCTTCACACTTATTGCTATTGAGAATATCTAAAATCATGATGAAATCTTTACGATCGTTTTTTTTGTGAGAATCACCAAAAATTTATACCTATTGAATAATCTACAAAACAAAAACTTGCAAAGATTTTAGATCAATGGTTCGATAGAAGATTCATATTGTCTTGTAAAGAAGCGAAAATACTTAATTGTAGAAAGTTCGAAATCGATCCGTGATTGAAACTGCTATTGTTTAAAAAACCGTGTCCCATACACCCATACCCTATTAAGTTGAAAATTTGTAATACATTAGAAATGAATTCAAAATAAAAGATTTGATGATTCGTATATAGATTATTGTTTGTGCTATAATGTTGAGTAATGAATATGACAGATTCTTCAAATATTCTTGAACTTGGGAGAGATTTGTTTTTGAGTTCTTTTCATGTACTAAAATTCGAACGTACGTATTATTTTATCTAAACTTATCTTATTTAACACTTCGATTAGCCTTTCTACAAACTACTTGTTGGTTTGAGATTCAGAAATAAATTACTCAATAATAAGTATAATGCAAAATTCATGACATAAAATACTTTCGAATGGTGTATGATTTATATTTGTCACACATTCGTAAATGGAATAAGAGAGAAAAATACTTACACAAAAAATTTGCAATTTTTATATGAATCAGTCAAAAACGTCTTATGCATGGTTGTTAAATATAATTAACTATCGTTATTATCTAGCAAGATGTTTTTAACGAATTCATATAAAAGTTGCAAATTTATTTTGTCTCATTTCACTCAGAAATGTGTGACGAACATAAATCATACACCGTTTACTATCAATTGATAACAAATTTTTTTTTCCTTACGTTCAAATTCTATCATAACTCATTTTATTGTAAAATCCACCCAAAAAAAATGAAATGATTTTTAAAATGATGACATGCAAAATCTAAATATATTTCAGAGTCGAACTAAGGAAATCAGTGAATATGTTAGAAAAATTCAATATAAAAGACACTTTCATTTACGATAAAACCCGAGTTCATCGCAATTTTTCACATTACCAGTTAAATTTTAGTTAGTTTCAGTCAAACTAAGGATTCTTATACAAAATATTTGAAAAAAATCAACAATGTTTTGTTTTCAACATTGAGAAAATCAGATTCTAATCAAGTTCATAAGTAAAAAGCTTTTGTAATTGAGAACAGTTCAATACTGTTTAAAACAAATGAGAATGATTCATTTCAATGAAATCAATGCTTGTTTCTACTTCATACTTTTGTTTTCATTTTAGTACCAATGCGTGCAAGTTCCACTGATATTCATCCGAATACAAAATGGTCACAGAATGGTATCACTGTTGCTGGAGAAAATGCACGAGGCAGTGAAACCGATCAACTCTATTGGCCATTGGGTTTGTACGTCGACGATGATCAAATGATTTATATCGCTGATTGTGGTAATCACCGTATTGTAGAATGGAAATCTGGTGCAACGAACGGAAAAGTAGTTGCTGGTGGAAATGGAGATGGAAATGGAGCTCATCAATTAAATAACCCAGTAGATGTGATTATCGACAAAGAGAGCGATTGTCTCATCATTAGCGATTACGGTAATAGAAGAGTAGTTCGATGGCCTCGTCGAAATGGTACTCGTGGAGAAACAATTATTTCAAATATCTCTTGCTTCGGTTTGACAATGGACGACAATGATTCTCTCTATGTCGTTGACATTGGAAAACATGAAGTAAGACGATATAAAATTGGTGACACTAAAGGAACAGTAGTTGCAGGTGGCAATGGAGAAGGAAATCGTCTCGATCAACTCTCTGAACCCCACTACGTATTTGTCGATCGAGATCATTCAGTATATGTGTCTGATTATTGGAATCATCGTGTAATGAAATGGGAAGAAGGTGCAAAACAAGGCGTTGTTGTAGCCGGTGGCCAAGGAAAAGGAAATAGTCTTACACAAATGAATGAACCTGAAGGAGTTCTTGTCGATCAATTGGGTACTGTCCATGTGACTGATTCTAGGAATCATCGAATCATGCGTTGGCCAAAAGGAGTCACACAGGGAAGTGTCATTGTTGGTGGAAACGGTTATGAAGCACAGTCGAATCAACTCGCTTCTCCCATAGGTTTATCATTCGATCGGCATGGCAATCTCTATGTCGCCGAATATGGAAATCATCGAGTACAAAAATTTAATATCGTATGAAATTCAATACGATGATTAATTTTATTTTTTTTGTTCTCTTTCAAATAAATCGTGATTGAATGAAAAAAAGGATTCATAGCTATTCTATTCGCGCGCGCGACCCGAAACAATCCTGGTGGAGCCGTGGCGAGCGTAGTGTTCATGCACGCGTGGGAAGACCCACATCATCCACATGCACCCATTCGATGTCATATGTCAGTGAGTCTGGCGCCCCGATCGTATGCCACGGACACCAAGACAGTTCCTGACGGAGCTTTTAGGGACTACCCGAAAGTCCTTCTTATAAGGCAAAACCCTAAACTCAACGTACCTCGCTCACTCTAACTTGTCTCATCTGAAAAAAAAGAAAAGAAAAAAAACTCACTCGTCGATGTTGAATGATGTTGATAACTAAAAGAAAAAGAAAACAATATTAAACGATGAAGAAAAAAAAAAGATAACTTACTCCTATTATCTATTTCTTCATTAGTCAATGGCTAAAATATAAAAACATATATAAAATAGTATGGACGCTCAGCCGAAAAAACAGCTCAAATAAGTGAAACAATAGCAAATGCTCTATGATTGGTTGTTTTTTTTGGAAGGGGCTAGTTATAAGATTGGTATCAGTAGATAGAGAAAATTTTTCTCTATCGAACTGTATATTTAGTTTAAAAAAAAGAGGCAGTGCCATGAAATCATCAAAATACTCTGACCAATCCGAACACAGATCATTTATAATGACGTTATTATTGAGATGGCATGGCCAAAAATTTTGTTTGAGTTTCTTAATTTTTTAGTCAAATCGAGCTCTTCCATTATTAGTCGATGCGCTGAATTGATTGGAAAGTGCCACAGAACTCGATTCTCTCTACTTACGAAGTTTCAGTAAGTGCATTTCGTTGTCATAGGATACCATATTTTGTTACGCAGATATCTTAAAAACCGTTCTTGGGCTAGAGAAACGGACTTCACCACTTTTTATAGACCTAGTACGAGAATGTACTGTGTTAATAGTATCTTCCAAAAATGAGTCTAGACATGTGGCGCCCCCCAAAGTGCATTATTTGATATTGATTTGATGAGTCATCGGGCTGAGCGTACATACTAAAAAAAGATCATAGGAGGACTTACCACTCTCCAAATAATCGTAAAAAGAAAAAAAAGAAAAAAAAAATTAATATTAATACCTACATTTTTTTTATTGAGTTGATTTGAATAATTTTGTATCGTTGAAGCCAATCTAAAATATAAAAAGAAAAGATTATTATTTGATTCAATAAATTGAATCAAATAATACATCGAAAATCATTCATATTTATATGTTAAAAAATCGATATTTTACTTTTTTTTTCGTCAGAGAGTGATCAAAAGGCCATAATAATTAAGCTATCATCAACATATACACATAGGGTGGGGTGTGGGTGTGGGTGGGTGTGGGTGGGGTGTGGGTGTGCGGGTGGGGTGTGGGTGTGGGTGTGGGTGGGTGTGAGTGTGGATGTGGCTGTGTGGGTGTGACTGCGGGGTGTGGGTATGGGTGTGACTGCGGGGTGTGGGTATGGGTGTGTGGGTGTGGGATGGTGTGGATGTGAGTGTTAGTGTGGGTGTGAATGTGAGTGTGGTGATGAGTGAGGAGAAGATCCACACCCACAACCAAACCCCACACCGACCCACACTCTCACCCACACCCACACCCCACACCCCACACCCCACACCCACACCCACACACCAACACCCACACCCCACACCCAGCCACCCACACCCACACCCACACCCCACATCCCACACCCACACCCACACCACCCCACACCCACACCCACACCCACACCCACACTCCACCCACACCCTATAATTAATGAATAATGTCGAATATCGTTAAACTACTACCATTTGCACAAGCATGGATAATAGTTTTGCCTATTTTACTAAGAATAGGTTCCACAGCTTGAAAATCATTTGGTTGACCACCAACCATAAATGTTAATGTACCTTTTTGAGCACTAATAGTACGTATAATATTTAAAGATTAATCAAACCATTGCAACAATAAATATATATTAATAATCGCCTGAGACAGGAGCATCGACAAAATTTAATTGTTTACTTCGAGCCAGTTCCGTCAGTTCCTTAGATGTTTGTACGTCAATTGTGCTACAATCAATAATAGATGTACGGTTTTTAGCCAAACTAATCCATTAATAAAAAAAAAAATCAAAACTTCAGGAAAACTATTTCTGTCTATCATACGAAAAAATACTTGATTGACAAATATCACGTACAATATTGCCATTAGGCAACATTAAAATAACAAATTCTGAATTTGCTACTGCTTTTTGTGGTACAGAGGCTATTATAGCTTCTTCTACAACAAGGACACAGATTTATTCGTCATACAAAAAGAATTCATTACTTTGTCCTTTAAAATAATCAAATGCTTGTGGGTGAATATCAAAAACTGTTACATGATGATTAGCTACAATTAAATTTGTTGCCATATGCTTACCCATATTACCAAGATCAAGAAAGCTAATATATGCCTAAACAAAACATATCAAATATGTTTTGCTTTCTTTTTTTACATACATATATTGTAACATACATATCGAGTCAATGATAGATGTACCATGTTGACTACAAAGTAAGAATCTCGAAAAAGAAAATAAAAAGAATTAAAAAAAAAGACATTGATTAGCCATATCCTATAGGACTCCCTATTTCATTCATCAACATAATACATAAAATAGGAGAAAAAAAACTAACGCTTAAGATGTCTATGTTTCAAATCAATTTGTAAAAGTCAAGCAAATGAATTGATTGTTGGCAATCATGATACAATTCCCAAGTAAAAACTATCATAAAGCTAAATAAAAGACCATTACATCTATACAAAATCCGTCCACTTGATTTTTATTTTCATTGATTTTCTTTTTCTGCTCGTTTTTCACGTTTTTCAGCTTTCGCCTTGTAACTTGCTTGTTTATTTTTCAATTGAATAACTTGTTCTTGGTCATATTCTGCTTTACATGTTTCAATATATTGCAGAACCTTTTCAGCGCAAAATCGACATTCTTTTTTTATTGAAGCATTTATCAACTTAATTTTGTAAATCAGAATCAAGAGGATTATTTTTTCCATCCAAATACGAAGTACATTAGAAACAACAAAATGAATTTGTATATATCAAAATCATAATTTTACTTCTAATTTCGTTATTTCACAAAAAGAAAGTGGTAAATTTGTAATATGATTATTGAATAAATCGAGCCGTTCTAATGATTTTTACTATCGAAATTTTCAGATAACTTTGT